CACAGGCGCCCGCCACAACGCCCGGCTATTTTTTGGTTGCAGCCGTCATTGTTGTTTGGCGGGTCCGGGCTGGGGATTCAAACCCGCCACCTTAGGTGTACGTGGCTGGCGCCTTAGCCGGTTGAGCTATAGGCGCTGAGCCCTATATGAGAACTCTTAATTAGCTTTAAAACATTTTAACCTTGACGTAGTCCCACAAATGATATGCCAAAAGGGTCTACGTTTATGGATTACAAAGAATAATTTTAGTCCACAAGTGAAAGAATTAGAGGACATCAGAAATGATACAGTTTTATATAATTGGCAATAGCTGCCCTTATCTCTCTAAAAATGTTTTTACCAGAGAAATTTTTTACACTTAAATCAGTTGTCAGCAAATGACTAATTTGTCTTTAAGATAAAGTATTACTGTACAACAGATCCTTACTATCAACATTTTTTTTTTTTTAAGAGACAGAGTCTCACTTTGTCGCCCTTGGTAGAGTGCCATGACATCACAGCTCACAGTAACCTCCAGCTCTTGGGCTTAGGTGATTCATTTGCCTTAGCCTCCCAAGTAGCTGGGACTACAGGCACCCACCACAATGCCCAGCTATTTTTTTGTTGTTGCAGTTTGGCCGGGGCCCGGATTGAACCCACCACCCTTGGTATATGGGGCTGGCGCCCTACTCACTGAACCACAGGCGCAGCCCACTATCAACATTTTATTCTATTATCACAGCAGTGAGGGATTTACAAACAACACAGCTCCCCATATTGGAAGATCATGCCATGTTTCCTGTTTCCACAGGCCCTGGCAGAAAATGAATAGGAATTATTACTGTATTATAGTTGAAAGATGAAGACAGAATTATGATATACTATTTAATAAAATGGCAAAAGGCTTTGTACCTGTGCATAATATAACACAGCTGGTTCAAGATACTGGCATCCAGGCTGAGGAGTGCAGGATAGAAGATTCCAGGAGGAAACAACACCACTAATGGAAGGCTATAATTTATATATATATCACATACCTTTTGAGAAGAATGATAACATCAGTATACAGATTATTCTCTAGAACTCCCCAATCAAGTTCGCCCAAAGAATCATTAGTATAAGATAAGCAATAATGTGAGGCTTGGCCCTTCCTTATCCCAAATAAAACAGGTAAAGTACAGGCCAGGTGCAGTGGCTCACACCTGTAATCCTAGCACTCTGGGAGGCTGAGGTGGGTGAATCACTTAAACTCAGGAGTTTGAGACCAGCCTAAGCAACAGCAGCACTTTGGATCTAAAAACAGCCAGGTGTTATGATGGGCACTTGTAGTACCAGCTACTCGGAGGCTGAGAGAAGAAGATCACCTAAGCCCAAGAGTTTGAGGTTGCTGTGAGCTGTGATGCCAGAGTGCTCTATCAAGGACAACAAAGTGAAACTTTGTCTCCAAAAAAAAAAAAAAAAAAAAGAATAGGTAACCACAGCCTGCCTAAAATATACCTCACCTGGCTTGGCACCTGTGGCTCAAGCGGCTAAGGCGCCAGCCACATACACCTAAGATGGCGGGTTCAAATCCCCAGCCCGGGCCTGCCAAACAACAATGACAGGTGCAACCAAAAAATGGCCAGGCGTTGTGGCGGGCGCCTGTAGTCCCAGCTACTTGGGAAGCTGAGGCAGGAGACTCGCTTGAGCCCAGGAGTTGGAG